ACTCTTAAAGCTAAGTGATGAAGAAAAATCAGTGCCAGAATTTGTAGGTTTTTACTTATGCAACCAGTAATGTTGACGTCATCATATGACGGCCGATAAGGTGTGGAGATATATTTGTTTGTGCAATCCATGTATGTACGTAGACTAATATACAGCTAAGATGTCCACATCTAGACAGGAGGAGTTGAGTTCCTTGACCAGAGCCTTTGGATGAAAATCCTGTCTGTAGATGGGTGATGGCTGGTGCGAGACTACCACAGTAGTCGGATGTTTGAGGGACGGGCTGACATACCCGCTCCAACTAACTAACCTAGAGGGTAAGTAAACTCTTATTGGCGGGCCTTCATTCACTGGCCATCCTGGTAGGAGAGACTCTAGGACTGCTGCAGCATTCTCGAGAGATTGTTAACATATGGAAACTGACACATCACAATTATGTTAAGTCACCTGGTGATGAGATCTACGTTTAAGCCAAGATTGATAGGAATATCCCTTTTTTCATGATGGCTTATGCAAGGATCTGGGTCAGTGCAGACGAAGTAACAGACAGACAAATGGGTGCGTAAGCGAACGATACGGTTCAGCGTTTAATTGGTTCCAATGCTTTCTACAACTGCTAGTCTATTTGAGAACACATTCAATGCATGATTTGCCGCAGTACACGTCTTGTGACTGATTCTTGTCGAACAGGTTCCATGGTATCCGGTTACTTGTCAGGAAAAGAGATGGGTCCCGGACATAACTTCCCGGTTCACTACAACCGAGCAAGAAGTAACTTTTTTGACAAAAATATCTACCTTACTTGATTCATTAATTATCGCACCCTTTGAATTTTGTGACCTGAGAGGATCAAGCTTTTTCACAATTTTCTGAAGACTTACATAGGCGATCTATTATTTTGTTGGCTAAAATTTCGGAACTTGATCCAATTCGTCCATCTACTCAGCTGGAATAAATAGGGATCTACTCTGAACAGCTAATCTCCTAAAGAGACCGAATTCTTAACATTTGGGCTGGTACTTACCAACCAACTAAAAGCGAATAACACTTCAACCTGAACACAGTTTACGTTTCGATCAGCCAATATGCTGTTAAATGACGTTTTGCCGACTGATATATTGAAAACTAATGGATTCTGAAGATGAAGAAGGAAGCTATGTTTTACATCCCAAGTGGATAACTCTGAGAACAGCCAATTAAATAACGATCGATCACAGAGTCGCAGACTGCTACTGTAAAAAGTTTTACTCCAAACTTGTTCCGATAAGTGAACTTTGGAGAAAACTAATTCTCTCTTGTAAAGTATCCTATGTTAATTTCCCGCACTTATCAGATTATTTATTTAGTTTGTCCATCGGGTATGGTAAAATCCGCTAAGCATGTGACCTCGGAGTATTTTTTTTCCGTTACACCTCCGAGAGAGTTTCGCATGGTTGCGCTGTAGACTACAGTGAAAAGTCCGATGAATCAAAACAACCATCATCAACCGAGGATGATAGCAAATAAAACGTAAAACAGGAGTTTTTGGTTCTCGAGCAACAATGTCTTCAAATAATTCACCCCCGACAACTCTACAAACCAATAATTTGCTCAGTTAGTTAAAACAAAAGTTCAAAATATGCTCTATATAATTATCTATATGGTATTTATATAAATATATTTGCATTTATATAGCATATATTTTCTATAGAGGAAAATGGTTTACTTCACCTCACCAAATCGATGGTCTTCTGAAAATTGTTATGTCAAGATACACTCCACCTAACGATATTTTCTCTCTAGTTGGCTTGTTCGCTGATCTGGGCAATTTGATTGTAAGCGTTTCATCACCAATCGAGGTGAAATCATCGGTGCGTAGTGGTGTTTAGCGGTGGGTTAGTGGTTGTGTGTTGAGTAGTCTTATACGTGTGTTAATATACGTGCTTCTAACAGAGGATGACCTTTGATCGCGATTAATTGTTCGGTCGGGCGGCTCCATTGGTTGCTCCGTTGTCCTGTGTCCCCATTCGCCGATGCTCACGTGACCTTTGAGCTTGGCATCCTCTGCCGTCGTAATCCAGTTAATGCTGGAGTGACCTTTTTCCTTTCCAGTCCCGGCCTGTGACCTTTATTGATTTGCCTCCAAACCGTTCCTTGTTCTTTGTTTGTGAGTCCAATATTCAGTCCTCCTTGAATGTTCCGGTTGAGATGTTGGTCTTTTGCATGTACGGGTGCGTAAACTTACGCATGTAGAGTGTACACCGCCCTGGTCGGATATGACAGACCAATCCGCAAATTGATAGCAGACCGTTGCGCAGATCAGGTTAAATAAAAAAAACCCAGTTTTCTATGACTTGGGTGGCAGGACTGACGGCTGTTGAATAGGCCAACAATGTTTCATTAGCGTGTGTGGACAGATGCTCCCTTGGAAGGAAACTGACATGAAAAAATGGCAGTCCCCTCGAGAAAATCCCCTCACCAGATAGCACAAGGGTAGTCTTAATGATAGGTTTGGTCTGTCTGGGATGAACCACATTTTTTTAACTTTCAAGAAAACTTTCAAGGAGACAGTGCTGTGGTTAATTCATTTTTAAGTTCATAAACATGTGGAAAACAAGTTGGGAAGGTTGTCAAAGTTTCAGAAACAAGAACCACCCTTCCAACAAGACTACATTTATCATTCAAGGAAACTATCACCGAAGAAAATGATGGACTACCTCGATTGAGTGTTTACTTTAGCACAAACATCACTGACAGCTTATAGTTTGGTTCATGCTTATAAGTCTTCTAAACTTAGTTCTGTTGCCCTCTTAACAATGTTCAGTGTGAATTTGCGTGCAAGCTTCAACGTAAGAAAAACACAATGCTGGAGTAGCGTCATAAAAACTATTCTCGTCTTCTTAGTCCAGTGACCTGTCACCTAACTCACGACACCTGAAATTGCCTAAGGAAATACGCTATTCATAGAGAAAATTAGATTCTTCTAGCCCCAAGAAATGTACACAAGCTCGGTGAACAAACCAACGCATCTGATCACCTACCACAGAATCAAAGAGGAGAATACAGCTTGACAAAAAGTTGCGTGGTTTGACTTCCAATAAAACCCAGACAAGTCGTCGTTTCAATAATGTCTCATACCCCCGCATCATTTGTGAAAATTACACTTACTCAAGAGGACCTCATTGTTGTGGACCGGCTTTTTGTCATTGATAAATTCGATATCCCTGACATCGACATTATGGGTATGTTTAAAAGCGTCTGAGTCTACCCCATTATGCTACGCTGTCTGGATTGTCAGCTCTCGTTGACCACATTCATACTTTTGTCTCTAAATAGAGCAAACACGGCTCCATGTCTAATAATACCGTGTGCAAATGGTTTAATTCACCTCATCAAATCGGTGGTCATCTGAAAATTGTTATGTCAAGATACACTCCACCTAACGATATTTTCTCTCTAGTTGGAGACCAGAAGTGTCAGTCACTTCTAAAAGATGTTCTATTCTGGAAAATATCTTACCAGTAAAAGAACGTTTGTCACCTCTGTACATCAGCGAATCTCAAAACGACCCCTTGAAGTTTGTTCTGCCTGGAGATTGGGCTTAAACGGACTAAACTGAAGTAGACTCCTCCTCAAAGGGGTTTACTACGCAAATCTGCTTCAAAGAAACAACCCAAAAAGGTTTTTATTTCAGGTCGGTCTTCTGTAAACTCTTTCACATAGGACAATAGCTGTGCCACTAGCAGACAGCACGCTGTTGAACTCCTTTTCAGTTTGAGAAGAACATGACGATATTGCCCGAATAATGGTGTGTAGGAGCCTATCCTATCCTTTTGATTGATCATTTAAGGCTTCTATCGCTCTTTTTACCTGCTTAGGAAAAAATATTTCGGGTTGGTTATTTCATATAGGCCCCCTGAAGGTGAAAATTGTTTCTGGTCCCCAACACCTGGAAACAAGCTTGTCTGTAGTGCAGTCAGTCGAATGCTCGAATGGTACCGAAAAGTTAGAACACTGAGTTCAGAAAGACCGCACCAGAGTTTCTGGAAGAAATCGAATCAAAGTCAATGCACAGTGGTCGCCTGAGAGTTGGTGGGTTGACTGTTGATTTTGAACCAGACCCCATGGTCACCTGAGAGTGAGTTTAGATTTTGTATGGGCTCTTTCCAGATACTGCTGAAAGTTTCTATGTATATATATATATATGTATATGTATAAGATACGCTCCAATAAATTGCAACGGCTTCCGGTGACATTCCGCTTGAGGTAATCACTCTTTTTTATCTATTGAGCTTTCTCAGACACGACCTGAATTTTCAGGTTTTGCGAACAGGCAGATCAGATAAAAATTTGCTTAGCCTAACAAGAACAATGATCGAGCTGTAATTTAAATGTCCGTACAGGACACCTTATACTTTGAATTTGTCTGTTTGTACGGAGTAGGCAATTATCGGTGTATAACACACTAGAAAATTTGCGTTTTTTCTTCTCTTTTCCTTTCACGTTCTTTAGATCCGCCGACAAGGCTGTCATTTGCCTGCTGGCAAATATGTCCACTGTTGTAGATAGAGCACTACACTACATGTAAGTGTTTCATGGTCGAATGTTTGAAATGAACCTTATTAGACGTGCTTCTCTCGTTCTTTGGATGCCAGCTCTTTTGGCACCGTACAGGGGTTGGTATGATAGGTGCAACTTTTTTCGACGAGATCACCGTATCCAATTCCATGTAACGTGGAAATCGACCAGTAGGCTTTAGGTTACCATCTAATGAACCTGTTTTCCGAATCACGGAACGGTTGCTTAGAAATCAGTGCTCAGCTAAGAAGTTTCGCAGAAATAGAAGGAACAGTGGAAATCATTGCCAACCGAGCGAAACCTTACAGTGCAAATGTTCCATACTCTTCTTCCTTTGATGGTCTCCTGAATGCATGTATTATCTGGCTGCCAGATAACAGCAAAACGTAGCTTTTGTGCTATTTTCTTCACATGAATGCAATGTACACTATGATTCGGATTACTTGACTTTTCAAGCTTTCAGCTTTGAAAGGTCCTCTGTGGGAATATCTGCGCAAGATTGCTAGGATAGATGGCAAAACCGACTATCTCATCCCACAAAAATAGCAAATGCACACAGGAAATCCCAAATCCAGGTTAACTCGTGAGCCGTCACGTGCCTGACCTAACAACACATGCTACAAAGTGAGGAGGACCATCACCTAACATACTGTGAAACGAATAGTCAAGTTGGCAACATTCCGGAACAATCATATGCTATTGATATTTCGAATTCAGTCTCCACCATGTCACAGAAACGCAGTAACTGACCGCATGCTACTTGAACGCGTTAATCCACCGATCAGCCCCACGTGATTCAACACTGCCCCTTAATTCGGCATCCTGAAGCAGGTGACATTAAAAATTCGGGTGTTCCAGCATAACTCTTACAAGGCGCTAAAAGTGTGCATAGGATCGAAGAATACTCAATCAGTTCAGAGATGTCCCACGCTGGTAAGAAAATAAGACGGGAAAAAACTTACAGATCGAATATCATGAAGAACCTTCCGGTGGTGTGGAAGCTGTCGTGAAGTTGGACTGTTGGGGGTGAGAATGTGGTAACGTGCGAGGCGTACTGCTTGTAATGGGAGTAGCGACTGTGATCATTGAATCAAAATTAGGCAAAACAAATGAAACACGTTGGACATAAATTGAACCAGCCACCATTCAGAATCCAAGTACAAACTCTGTTGTTTTGCTGTGATAAGTATGTTTCTTTCCCCAACCTCCTATTTTGTAGAAATCGCAAACCAATATTATTTAGAGCCCTGCTGCTCTAGGTATTGCTCAAAGACTGTCAGGAAAAGATTGTAACTTACCGTGGTATCATGGTTTGTATGCCTCCATGTCCCATTGAGCTATACTACAGGGTGTCCTGGAGCCACTCACTTTCTTCACACTGGGTTAGGCACAGGTCTGACCAATAGAGTCTTAAGGATCTCTAGGTTGTGGGATAGAACGTACGTGGCTAGCTGTCCACTAAAAATATCAACGCAATAGTACTTTTCGCGGTCAGTCTTTTGAGCCGAAGTCTTTGGTCAAGGACCCAAGTCGTCCTCTTGCATAGGTGTGGGTGCCCTGGTAATATCCTGGCCCACACACAACCATGAGACTTAAAAACCAACAATACTGCCATAACACATCAGCCGCCGCGTAAAGCCGGGTCACCTTAATTGCTGTATATAGCAGGACTGGCAAACAAAGGCAAGCTACTCCTGATGTCTTTGTTCCTTCGCTTTCCAGAATTGTTTCTTTTTCACCCATTGCCAAATCTTTCCTCGTAGACCGATCCTTCGGAACTGACACATCCGTTCATCTCGCATCAGTTTTGGTCAGCCAGCGCCAACTACCTCAGTTACCCCACAATGAGGCTTCAAGAATCAACGCCCCATCCAAGGGGTACTTTCAACACTCGCACTATGAAGAAAGTGGGACGTCAAGCCATTTTTACCCTTTTTTGCATGGAAACTGTTATAATGCCTTCGACGGCGACGATGATGATGATGATGTTGATGATGATGATGATGTTGATGATGATGATGATGATGAACGATGATAAGTACTCAAAGGCCAGACGGCTGCTGATTTTCGCATATGCATGCAAATGTCTCACCACTCAGGGGAGATCATCACTGCCCAGTAAAAAAACAAATTCCTGGTACTCCATTACGATGTGCTACTTAAAGGATCAGAAAATTCTACGAATAAGCCACTAAACAAGTCATTGCTAATGGATAAATAAGTTTTTGTTTCCCGTAATTCCAGCTTCTCAAGTATGTCCTAGTTAGGACTCTGCTATTTTTGGAAAAGCTGAGCTGATTTCTTGAAAGGACTGATCCTCAAACAAATATTTTAGTGTTCTACCGATTAAAATGTTGAAGTCTATCTCTCCCAAACCAATCTGTGGAATAATCCCCGCAGATTGGACTTTTCCGTCGGCTGCTCCGACCGGCAAGCGGCCTGTAAGAAGGCTTGTGAAAAGCGTAATATCAACCAAAAAATAGCTCTTCCCAAGAAGCCTTACCAATGTTTTCATGCTTTAGTGAACGGCAAATGTCGGCTTCTCGTTCAACTTTTTGAAGAGCTGAAAGAGAGAAGTAGAATATTAAGCGGACACTGAGTCAGTAGTCTGTACTTCAGGTGATCAAGATGAAAAGTAATTGAGTTTTCTGGTTTATGGAATTAATACAACCTGCCTCTGCTGGGAATCCGTCTGGTATCTATAATTTTTGCAGCGAATTCCTTCCCAGTAGAAAATTGGATACATCGGCATACAACACCAAAAGCTCCACTGGAATAATTGCGTCCGTCATATCTGATCGCAACAAAATTTAGTCCTTACCGACCGAGTTCTTCGCATAGTTTATATCTCTGTTCTTTGGCCATTCATCAAGAGCATAGGGCTAAAACGGTAGATAAAACTAGAAAAAATGAACGTGTAGAGTCTGGAGTCGATTGATGCGAATATAGGCTGCAGAAGAAAACTCCTGGGGAGAAGCTTGTAGAAGAAATGTCGAAATAAATTTTCCGTTTCTAGGTAGGACCGAAGGAAAATCTTCGTGAAATTTTGCTGAGTTCTAAAGTATCGGGAGTTCAAATAATAACAAGGTTGGTTTTTGGTCTCTTATTTAGATGTTGAACTGCATGCTACAAGTTGGTTTGCGCTCAGGATTTTCAGAATGAATAAGAACTTCATGCAATGTCAATTAGAACTGTGTAGAAAAACTTTGGAATTTCGTTCTGTTTGGTTACTTGTGCCCGACTAGTAACGATGGTCAGTGCTAATGCGCCATTTGGTTTTCTATAAGTTGCAATTGTATTTTTTGTTCAACAGCTGGGTGAGACAATTTGCGTTCAGCATCTCCGGCTTTACAAACGACCAGTCTTGCTAGTTTCCTCTGACTAGGGGTTTTCGGATGACTACAAGTCTGGGTGGTGTTAGGTGCAACCTAGTCTTGGCCTGTCCCAGTCTCTTTGGCAAGCAGACCCGATTATGAGGATATTCGTCGTCTAAAGTGATATAACATTTTGCCGCAGATTTCATTACGTGGGTTCAAAATGACAGCTGAATTGAGAAACGTAGTCCTGATCAAAACGTCTGTGGCTTTAACCCGCACCTTTCTTCTCGTTTGCTTTTGT